GAGATCAAGCAGTGAAACTCATTCAATTTATAAAGAAAATAAAAAAACTATTCAAAGAGACCTCATTATTATGGATTTTGTCAATGCCTTTGATAAAGTAACCAACAAACGTCTACTCTACAAACTAAAATAATATGGCATACAAGACAACACTCTAACATAGATTCAGGCTTTTTTATCAGACCGAACCAGTTGTTATAGATGGAATAGCATCCAACACAGTATATGTTCAGTTACACCAGGTTTACCACAAAGAACTGTTTATGGGCAAGTACTCTTCTTTATATTTATAAATGTTATTTCCAGAATCTCTCAATCACAGCAAGTTAATACTCTTTGGTTGCTGACGATAGTATTATATACCGTGAAATAACATGTCAACAAGATTGCACAAAACGACAAGCCGATCTTGACTCGGCTGCTAAATGTGAGGCTGATGATCACATGGCCTTTCATCCTGGCAATTGCACTGTTCTAACCACCACACAGAAGAAAAAAAAACCCATTTAAGCACAATTACAGCCTGCACAACTAGTAACATCAGCAAAATACCGTGATGCAACTTACCGCTTTACAGTCAAATCTTAAACGGAGCAATCGCTACGACAGTACCATATCACGTGCAAACAAATCACTTGGCTTCCTAAAGAAAAACTTACACTGTTACAGTTAAACACCAACATCAAATCACGTGCATATCAATCCATAGCGAGACCAAACATTTAATACAGCTGTAGTTTGTACAACAGAATACAAAAACAAACAAGAAATTGTACAGAGTCGTGCTGACCGTTATATATGTAACAACTGCGATAACACCAGTAGTGTAACATCTGTGATAAACCATCTTGAATGGCCCTCACTTGTTGAGCGCCGCCTCACAATCAGACTGATTATGTTCTATAAAGTCACCCATAGACTCATTGCAATTCCATCGTTAGTTCTAATACTAACAGATACTAGAACAAGAAAAGCACATAATCAAACATTTCGGCACTTTATCAGAATTCCAGCCAAGACAGACACACTGGAATTCAGTTTCCTACCAAAAGATTGGGACCTCCTACCCCCGGATATCATTACCAAGAACAACAATTCAGGAGAAAACCAGTTCAGTTGTTCACAGAATTTGTAAGGAGGTCAAAAGTTATAAGTAAGTTATTAAACTTGACACACGCGCGATGTAGTAATGTCCAAGAACGTGACATCGTATATATATACAATCAAGATCAAGAATTTCTCAAGGCTTCAGTTTCCCGAATATTACCACTATATACATGTGAATAATAGTGTATAATGGTCAAACTTGTATTGTAACTTGAATCTTTTATATACTTCCCTCGTCATATTAATATCATATAAGTACACAGTTAGCCTATTCCCACCAGCCTAGATAATATTCTTCTCAGTGTGCCATATATATGTGTCAGAAACTTTACAATACTTTGGACTAATACACAAGCTATTATTGGTCCCATACAACACGTCGGAAATTCCTGAAAAATGCGACCAATAAAATGAGAAAAAATACCTGGTTAGTTTCTTCCTGGTTAAAATCAACTAGAGATTGACATTCAGGATCGGATAGGAACAGCACTTTACGACGAAAAGATGACCAAAAATTATTTTCCTTTTGTGAACTTTCCATTTCTATATAGGGACATAGCATCATCTGAATATGGAAAAGAGAGGCGAAAGATATCAAAGGGAGGTCAAACTTATAATATTAGTTGTTATTGGCTTTGAACTAGCTGTCAGTAACTGTGAGTACTCTCAGATCAGTACTTGGTGTCTTTTTTGTTGTTAGGGATGAGGGATGGATATATACCCTGCCACATCCTGTCTGTGTTTTTGTTTGATGTTTTTCTTTGTATCGATCTGATGAGTTACGACTTTTTCAACCGATTTTTATAGTTTTTTCTTATGTTGTGCTGTTACACCACTGTCCCAGGTTAACGGGAAGGTTGAGCGCTCACAAACATGTTTAACCCTACATTCTTTATGTGCCTGTCTCCCAAGTCAGGAGCCTGTAGTTCAGTTGTTGTCGTTGGTTGACGTCTGTCATATGTGTTTTTCGTAAATTGTTTTGTTATAAATTAGGCCGTGAGGAGCAGGATCTGCTTACCCTTCCGGAGCACCTGAGATCACCCCCAGTTTTTGGTGGGGTTTGTGTTGCTCAGTCTTTAGTTTTCTATGTTGTGTTTTGTGTACTATTGTTTGTCTGTTTGTCTTTTTCTTTTTTAGCCATGGCGTTGTCAGTTTATTTTCGACTTATGAGTTTGAATGTCCCTTTGGTATCTTTCGCCCCTCTTTTACAAGCGCCATTTAGATTAGGTTGACTGATATGGAATTTCTGTGACACAGATGACCACGGATATGTTCCATTGTAGCCACAATCCTGTTTTCCTTTCCTCATATTTTACATCTTTAAATGCGACTTGCATCTGGAGTTTTACATGTTGTAAACAACACGAGGGATGTCACTAATAGAGCAGGAAATGCATACTTACCCTTTCGGAGCTAGAGTTTATCCTCCTACATACGTTATGAAATATGAGAAGAGCATGCATCCAGATCAGTGGTAGAGAAAGAATACCGGTTCTTTCCTAAAAAAGCTACAAGGAAATTACGTGTTTGAAAAGAAACACCCAAACAGACTGGGTAGGCTGACAACTTATTATTCGTTTATTACGTCTAACTTCAGTTATTGTCCTTTGACTTGGCATTTCTGTGGGAAACAAAGTACAAGATTTTTTTTAAATATACAAGTACGTCTGCTTCGCTTCATTTTTGATGATTATAAAAAAAAACTCTTATGAAACACTCCTACAGATTTCAAACCTTCCTTCACTAAAAACTTGTAGAATGTGCACAATTGCTTTGAACACCTTTAAAATTATTAATAAAAAAAATTTCCACTGCTTATTCAAGATCTTATTGTTAAAAACAATTCATATAATTTTAGGTATGTGAACACAGCAGAGGTACCAAATACTAGAACCTCAACTTACGTAAAAACAATTTTTCTAAAATGTTTATGCCGCTCTGCTTGTCGGATTCTTTTCAGTGATAATTGTTCTTGTCTTGTCTAGTCTTGTCTCTTGGTGTTAATTACAACAATGTTGTGTTCATTTCAGATCTTTGGTCGTCACAATAAATGCTCGACTACATTTTAGCAATTCAGAAGAGTTTGTAACATGGTTTTGGGGTCTTGTCCATCATTGTAGGTTCTTTATTGTCTTCGCTAGATGTCTGTAATTTTTTGTACAATTGACCATGAACACGATGTTGTCTTGAAAGGTTTATATGTGCCCGTCCAATGTCTGGAGCTTCAATTGTTGATCGCTTACTTTTACCAGTTATATTTAGTATGTTGTCATTGAGAATTTTGCTGTTGATGAAAGGTACTGGTAGTCTCTGCTAAATTTATTCACACTTTTAAAACTTATGGCGATTTTATGAGAACTCGACATAATGCACATTTGCATAATTTCTATTGAGGAGGCCGTATGCTGATCTCTTCGTGTCATTTGATTCTATTTTGTGTCGTTGGGATGTCTACGTGACGTACACCCTTGTCTGCTTTTATTTATGTAAAGGGGAGAGGTTAATGTCCTTTATAGACTAGTGCTCTGTATCTAAAGGCGTACATTGAAGTGGCAGAATCTAGGACAATGTATTCTGTATGTTGTATCACTTTAAACTAATGTAGAATGTATCAAAGATGTGTAATTTAATCTTATATGCATATATGACAAAAGTATGCTTTATACAAGTCAAACATTTTTTTCAGGTTGCATTAAAATGTATGCTGTTATTAAACGAAGTTTACATTTATTAAATCACAATATAGTTAAATCAAAGAAAGGGTATTTACATATGGCAGTATGTCAGGGAATTGTGTACTGTCTTTATTTCCACCCAGCTTTCGGCGTCCATCAAGTTATTATACCATCTTTACAGATTAAATTTTACATGCCAAAATCGAACCAAAGTAGACAGAAATCATGTTTTAAAGGTTCTAATATATGTGTACCCTTTTTCTATTCTAATTGGTAAATAAAAAATAACACTTTTCAAACATGCAGATAGGTCATATCAATGGCAATTGGAAAGTCTTCTACAAAAATTTCCTTTTTTGTGCCGTTCAAGTGGCATCAATAAGTTCCCTTTAAACTATTAGGGAAACTAAATTTTTTTTTCTCATATTCTCCTTGACCGATGAGAAACAAAGTTCGTCAAATTTTTTTCGAATAATTCATAACGGTTGAAAAATATGATCGCAACTTAATGAATCTGATGATCGATTATCAAAATCTTCTTTTTTAATTTAAAAATAGTCATTAAAGATACCCGGCTTATAATTTCAGTATTCGTTTACATTAGTTTTCAGTGTCGCTCGAATTAAAGCAGTTAAAAGGCCAAATCAGTAACTATATTGAACACATGCGAAATGTCTTGAAGCTTCACCGAACTGTTTCCTTGAATGTTCTATTCAAACGTTGTTCATTTACTGTCGGGTCATTTAAACAACAGGGGCTTGTCTTCATTATTTTTTTGTGGTGTTATAGCAGATAAGTACAATTAGCTTTATCTCCCTTTGTCCAATTAAGTATGATAAATTCCTTTTTTCATCACAAATGGTCCCGGGAGAGGCCTTTCGTGATTCTTACTTTTCAATTTTATCATCGCCATTGGAACATACAATGCATACTAAAGCCAAAAAAAATTAAAGGAAAGCGATTGGGGGACCTTCTGCTAATATTTTTACTTTTCCGTCTGATATCATTGAGCCATTCTGGAAATCCTAAATATTGTCCTGCTTTTCCTCGAAACTACTTGGTTTATCTTGATCACAACTTGCCGAAATAACACATGGAAGTTCCTTTTTTATAGTATTACATGCAATTATTTTGTCCCAGCGTGCTGAAAAGAATAGGTACCAGAATGCAGAATGATTTGCCAATTTCTTCTTCTATAAGGAAATGAGGAAAAACAAATCTTTTCAAAATTTATCGTAATAAGGATACACTATTTTATCGTAATAAGGATACACTATTTTATTCATATATATTGTTTGTCCTTATGGTAGCCGGAGATACAACATGGATGTTATGATGTCGTATAGATTCTCTTTAAACCATGGCGGAAAATCACATTCTCATGGACATTTCATGTTTGCCAGAAAGTGTGAGTGATCATGCTTTGTCCAATTGAAGATTGTTCTGTGTGTTATGCAGATGTGGGTTGAGGACGACATTAAGCTATTCGTTTTCTGTATTAAATATAAATAATCACTCTCTTAGAAGTATCAGATGCGATGAAAACATCAATTGCACATGTTTGCAAGTTTATATCCCGATGTTGTTTACCATAATACAAACGACTGCATAAAGTTCACAGCAAGTTCAAACAATAATTAATTGCCATGCAAATTTGAAACAATGATTATATGTTTGATTCCGAGTGATGAAGCTGATAAACGTTTGATTGTGCGTGTACTATAGATAACGACAGGGTTTCCACGAAATAAAACCTTATTTTTTCTGTTGTTCACGACAATATTGATTTCCATGCATCTAGCTCAAATACAAATACATATATAGACCTTTTTTAAAAATCATTCACTAACGAACGTATTTCTATAAGCACCTAATTTGTGTTGTTTTAACTTTGACGGTTTTTTATCTCTTGGAGTAGTTAGTTCCGGAAAGTGGTGTTCAGGTTCCGACCCATGCAATAACCATGTCATAACAAACTCTTTTGACGGCATGTGACCAGGCAAGGCTGAAGGAAACTTAGGATATTTTTCAAGGTCTCTTTCCAGTTGTCTAAGATCCATTTCTGATGGTATTTTTGGAATTTTTTTTCGAGTCTTAATTGATATATTAGACAAAGCTTTAGGTCTCAAACGATTTTGTGGTAGATGTCCCGCATGGTGATTTGACATATATAACAAATCATTCTTTAATCTGTCTGATTTTGTATGAAAAGCACACGTAGAGGCTGTCACTTCAGGTAAAATCTGTGTAGTTTCCAATCGAACTGAATTAGCCTTAGCTACTTTTTCTATTGCATCCTCACAAAAATCAAAGCCATCACTTTCACTCCCCATCGTCCTGTAACACAAACCAAAATGCAAATATGAATTGAAAAATCATTTGAAACAAGATTTAGAGGTCTCTTTGTGAAATAATGAAGCACGTTAGTTTATCCTATGTCAAGCTTCATGTCATGAACCCTAATAAACAATCTATACCCACACCAGTATTACGATTTGTACACCTTTTAGCAATAATTCGATTTTCTATGTAAGCGTTTGTCTTTTATTTGATTATTACGGTATTCGCGTTGCGTTGAGTTGAAGTTTTGATATAAATGGTGGCAAAGTTTTTCTTCCCATAGGAACCAAATGAGGATAAATTGTAAAGGACTTCCATAAACCATTTCTGCCAAGTGTTTCAGAGAAGATGAAAATGTGATTTCCCATAGGATTTCAACGGGACCTATGTTCCACTTATTCCGCCATGTTTGCCATCTGATCGACAGTAAATGAGGATCATTTGTAGCTGGTTTCACAATCATCAATCCAGTATGGCTTCAAAGCAGAGAAATCGATTTTCTTTTAGATTGGCCAATCAGAATCAAAGATTGCCTCTGGCGTCAATGTTTTAGATCCGTTCAAAACCGAATAAGAATCGTTTACGGGGGACCTTCCACCGTTCGTAGAGGACCTGCATAATTCCTGTCAAGTTTCTTTTAAACTGGCCATGTGACTTTAAGAAAGAATATAAAAAGTGAAAATTTAAGGACGACGGTCGCCAAATGGTGGCAATAGTTCACATGGCCTGTCAGGCCTAGTTCCGAAACTATCTGACAATTCTTACAAGAATTAATTAATGTCAAAGCAGGCGAACAAATATGGTGGAGTATACATTTCAAAAATTTCAAAATCAACGAGTTGATCGCAGTAACGATACAGCGGTTTACTATGTTTTCGTATAGGATCAATAACTGTGTCATATTTACTGTACCGTGTTCTTGTGATTCTGGCAGAAAGTAAACATGTTCCACTTCTCCTTAGTCTAATGGATTTGACATCCACACACACCTCCACAAAGTTGGACATTTTTTTAGTTAATCGCATGGACCTAGTATTTATTCAAAGACATTCGTCTTAAATATATATTTGTATATGTCTTGCGTATGTAAAGATATGAAGGACAAATGTTTATATAAACAGAAATTAAGTGACAATGATTTTGTAATCTAGCGTATGATTTCATTTATAACACCGTGATCGGTTATATTCCTGTTAGCCTTGTGGAAAGTAATAAATGTATTTGTGAAACACAGCTTTTCAATTTTCGTTTTAAGTCTAAGGATTAAAATTAAATCCGAGATTTTAATTTCAATTCTGACCTTAAAAATTGTTCTTTGAGGGTTCAAAAAAAAAACAACAATGAAACAAAACATGTTCAATAGATTTAAATTATAGAGAATGTATTTATCTTCACGAACTGTGATATAGTTATTTTCAATATACATAAGTGTGAATAGAAACGCAAGGCATAAATCGAATTTCTGTTTAGCAAAAACATAACAATAAAAAAACGATCGATTTTCTTTGAACACTAGTAGAGATCTAAAGTTTCACTTATTCTGTAAAATTTTCTGGCTATTTTCAGTGTCTTCCTTATTAATTGGCATGACACAGATACCAGATGTAACCCTTGCACTTCTTCCTAGGTATACCATAATCGTGGATTAAACGTCTTTATCACTGCGGCCATTTTATAATACAATTTTATGAGTTTGTATTCTTACAAGCCACGCTGTACAAAATAAACAAATCCTACGCATTTTTTACAAACTTTATATGAAATATTAAAACCGTTGATATTTTTTCCACCTGACAAGGCTTAACATTTTTGATTGGTATTTGCTTAAAAAAAAAAGGCTAACAAATGAATCATTTATATATCAAGTTCGGGACAATGTTCAGTAAATCAATTAAATAGTTTTGGTAAAGTGAGGGTTCTAGGGGCATTCACTTTTCCCTACATGTTCCGATTATATGTGTATTAAAAAGGAGGCAATCAGAACCCACAGTCGAAAAAAAACCAGATAACACGTTAGACGTTGGTGAACTACAAATCCAAGATAGTTTAAGAAAGTTGTTAAAATTTTAAAAACTTTAACCACAGTCAATATATAGTTTTTGAAATTTTAATAACTTTCTTTAACTATCCTGGATTTCTACCAAACTTGGAAAGAAGCTTGTTTATGATCATAAGATAGTATCCAGAAGTAAATTTTGTAAAAAAAAAATCCTTTTTTTCCGTATTTTACTTATAAATGGACTTAGTTTTTCTGCCAGTTAACATTACATTCACTCTGTGGTTAAAGTTTTTAAAATTTTAACAACTTTCTTAAACTATCTTGGATTTGTAGTTCACCAACGTCTAATATTAAGCAACTACACTACGCAGTAGATTACCTAATGTAAGGACGAAAAGACAAACAGCAGTCCACACAACACTATACCGTCTACCACGAGCGATACACACACATCCAAAAATGCAGGTGCTAACTCATGTGCTACGGAAGGGTTCTTGTTCCGGATGTGAAATTAAAAATTGAAAATGTATACGCGCCATCAAATCATCAAACCTTAAATAAAACTTTTGTAACGTTTTTGTAAAAAGAATTGATCTATGTACATTTGAACTCGTGTTAGACGTTTGAAAGAATGTTTTGTTTTTTGTTTTTCGCATAACAAAATCCCCGAACACGTGACTATTCAACGCCTTAAGAAAACCATTACATAAAATAAAAGTATTAAAATGTACATATGGATTGACAGTTGAATATGATAAAATGTCCGGTAAAATCAAGGATTGCATGACTGGATGCAAGTTCTTATATTTTTGTAAGGATGATAGTACATCACAGTTTGTGTTCCGTTTGCAAAATGTTTCAACAAAATGTTTTGTATGATTGGTATGTACGTGCTATTATCATGGTTGAAAAGGACGTCTACAAAATATTACGGGTAATTCAAGTTCAACTTCTTTATTACTTAATTTATTTGTTATTTACTTTAATAACACAGGAAATGGAAAAATAAATATTTAATTTGCCTCTCGTGACTGTGGTGTTGTTATTTTCTCTCCTACACAAATAGCCTGACTGATTTGAATCTTTGATAAATTCAATAAAAAGTTGAAGAAGTTAAACCCCCCAATAAAATCCAAATGTAGACACCTTCTCTACTTTTTATCTAATTTCTATGGGGCTAATCACATATTATAATAAGAGTCTATAAGTTTGTCAACGAAAGTATGTTCATACTATGAAACTTGTTTAATTCAATGTACAAAACGGTAGCAACAGACATTTTTGTCGGTCGATTATACCATCGCCAAAAAAAAAATATCGTGTTCGTTGTTAGTCTGTATGTCAGTGGGAAGCCTAGTGAAAAAGAAAAAAAAGAAAATTACCTCTTCTTATGATAGAGTCGAGAAAATAAATAATAAAACAATGCCGGTGACGACACTGATCAAAAGTAAAGTTATTTCAGATAGAAATTGTACATTTTAAAGAAATTATTTGTTAAACTGTGTTATTAGAAATATACATGCAAAATGAAATACACGATGTTTTATGTTCAGTATTTATCGAGATAATTGCATTAGAAGCTAATGAATCTGAAATCTAAAAAAAATGCCAATCTTTGCTGCATATTGATAAAAAAAAATGTAAAAAATCATGTACATACAAAATCTAAAGATCTGTCGGGTCACCATTTTTTAGAGTGTTCCACAAAGTCCTTAGCATGTTACAATTTCCCAAAATGTATACCTATTTTTCACATTCTAAGTTTTCGAGTACACCAGTCTACTCTTGTCATTCTGCTCTAGAATATAGAAATATTGTCTTTTCATGATTACAACAATATAAAAGTCTGTCTGTGCAGGTTAGAAATTAAAGATAAATATCCTTATAAAGCAGGCATATTTTTACTATTTTTTATACAATTTTTGTACATGTCTTTGCGGTCTTCTCCATCTATTCACATTTAATGTTTACATCGGGATAAGGTCTGTTTGAATTTGCTTAGTAACTTAATTTCAAAAGTGCCAATCTTTGCTGCATATTAATCGATTCCTTTGAAATTTTTTCCATAACTTGACTGGAACACATGGAATTTATTCGCAAAGCAACATTTTAACCAATTTTACACCAAGCTCCTGTCTGCTGTACTCATCGTTTTCTATTTAAGGAGGGAAATGATAACAATAAATGGAAGTTTAGTCTTTATTGCAACTTATTTCTATTTTTACTATTTACCAGAACGTTTTCCCGTGAATTTATAATGTATATCGTCCTTGCCGCTAAAATGGGACAAACATTGAAAAGATCTAGTTTTCAGTGTGTACAGGGGAGGTAATATTTTGTCACTAGATTTTCCACTGCGTTGGAACAATAATTTAGTTACAGCTGATCGATCCTTTTGAAGTTTAAACACGATTCTTCTGGAAACAGAACAAAGGATGCCATCACAAGTTGTCCTTCAACATCACTGTTTCTAAATCCAGCGGTGGCATCATCTTTGTCTAGTTCAGAATTGAGGTAGTTTTTATACTTTCTCATCGTAATGGGGTCGACAATTTCATTATATTTTTAAATGATCATACATATAACATTTTCAGTTTCCTAACTTCACTATGGATCACTATGGATGACTTTTATTTGGATTTTTTTTTCTTCTGATATATTGACAAACGTAAATATCTTAATTGAATGCATTCCTACGTAAGTGACCAATTTTACTTCTAAATGCATATTGGCAAAGTGATAACGGGCTAAAGGGGCCACAAATCGTATATTTAAATAGTACAACGAATCAAATGCCATGCAAGCACCATTATGTCGCCACAGTCGCTTTTGGTATTCAATTACTCAACGTTTTAATGTCGACATCTTGAGAGTTGTCCAAAACTTTGTCAAAATGGCTGAATGGCCTTAGCTGAAAAAAAATGTCACGTGAATCGACGGACAATGTATATGACCATTTCTTATATTGACATTTAGAAATGATTAGCTTTAATCGCAG